GAAGATCATTTAAATATCTCATCTAACTATAACGGCATGGTGGAGGAGAGATTGGATAAATATTCAATGGCGTGAGGGGAGTAGGTGGAAAGACACACATTTCAATATACCTCCATAAAGCAATAGACGGCAGTCGCAATATTCTAATGCACAAAAAAGCAAGTGCCGCTGAACTGTTTTGGGCATTTCAAAATAGATTCTCGGCCCCATCTTCCCAAAGTGCCCCGAAGCCATTTCATAGCTTAATCAGGGCACTGGAAGAAGGACTTATCTCATTCTATGATACCGCCAATTGCCCTTAGAATTCGTCTTAATATCTTTTGCTACAGATCATCACCTAATTACAGCTGACAAAGAGCAGCTGGAAGGTACATGGTATTAGAGGAAGTAATGATCCAATGGTAATGAGAACAGCGAGTGAGATATAGACATTATGAAATGTACTGATAAACCTAATGGAATCATTGTTGCCACACTAGTTTCAAGTATTGGGGTGGGGGAAAATAAAGACAAACAATCGAGGAGGAGGAGTTTGGAGTTCTGTTCAACTCACAACAAAACCACTATGTGTAGGGGTCAATTGTATAAAGTTGTCATAGCAACCATGTCAGAAAGGCTACAGTCTCAACATGATTGCTCTTAAGGGGTAATTGTTTGCATCGCTTTGAGTGCTCTGAAAAAAGTGGTGTAACACTTTATAACAACCATAAATAAATGGCAAATGGATATTAAGCAATTAGTTTGTTGTTTTATTGTTAACCATGAAATAATAATTAATAATGTTTACTTATTTACATTATAAAATGTAGGTTAATTAAGCAGGTTATTGTAGTTAATGTTAATCAAATGCTTTCGGAAAAACATTCAATAATAAATGGATGGAGTACTCCTAATACTAATCAGAGGTTGGTGAAACACACATTGATATTAGGATGTTTCCCTAAAAGGGAAAATGTTGCTAATGGAGGCACATGTTAGAAAAACTACTTCGAATGACAGTGATGCTTACAGACTAAAGATGAAATAAGGCTTTGCGCAATTGAAGTGCCATCATAGATATTTATAGCATAGGTTTCCTTTGATGATACCACAGAATGTCTCCCGGTGATGGCTTCACAGCCACTTGAAACACATGTGTTGTACATGTTAAGGCTATATCATACTGTATTTCAGAGCTACATACAAGAAGCATAGAAGACTGCGGCAGTAGGTAGGTTTGCTTGAAGATGTTCTTATTCCAAAAAGACAGTTATGTGCATAGGGTCCGAGTTTACAGAGTATCCCCTTAACGTTCAACTATAAATCAAGCTTAACTCCTCACATGTGTAACCGAGCAGGACTTTGGCAGAAACACAGATTCACAAAACCAATGAAATTTGTCATCTTAATGATTGCATTTGTAAGCTGCCCTGATGCTAAGAGGTGGGTATCAGCACAGCATACAGCCAACAGCTCTGCCCAGGCTGAGCAAACAGAGGCCAGGAAGTGTTAGCTGGCTAATGCAAGCCTGTTGTCAGCCAACACTGACACTGTGGGGGCAGAGGGGAGCAGGCAAGGGCAATCTGACTGAGGGCATGAGGGACGATAGACATCCTGGCACTGCAGGTGGGTGTGTGTTTGTGTGAGTGTGTCTGTGTGTTGGCTGAAGGGGAGAGAGTGGAAATGGATGGCTGTACAGACACCAAATAGCAGCGGGCAGGTCTCAGGCACGGTCCAGAGGACAGTCAGAGAGGACCTTGTTATGATGTACTAGTCACTGCTGTACAGTGAGAACAGAACTGCATAGATACAGTGAACATGTAGTCATTGGAAATTACTTTCAAGGCCAGTACAGCCCTTTCCATGCATGGAGTAATATGCCCATATGAGAAACACTACAAGATTCTAAGCAAATAATTTAAAAAGATTTGCAGACCTGCCCAGCCTTTAAAAGTTCATATCCTCTTCCTCTGTGCTGGAGCCAGACATATGATAGTAATAAATGCAACAGTTGTACATTTGCTGGGGTGGCTTTTAAACTGTTACTATTCTTTAATCATTTAGAAATGGTTGAATCCAGAGACAATCATAGAGTCTTTATTTGTGTTGAATACACTTCATTTGATATAGTATACAGGTTTAATTAAATGTATCATAAAGCGATTCGACTTAAGTTTGAGAAATGCATAGCCATCTATAAAGAAGAATGTGAGGATAAAAAAGGTACTCCTATATTCTTCTAATATTTTATTTATTCTCTGTGTACAACTATTCTTTCATTCTGTGTTCTATTCTTCATTACATAGAAAACATTTGCTTGCAAAATTCTGTCTTCAGCAAAAAAGTACCAAGCTGTTATTCGCCTTGTTAACCCCAAACCCTGAAATAATGTGTTTTTAATACCCCTTTTTTTCATTCAAACTATCTACACCTGTCACAACTTTGTTCCCATGACCGGCCCAATCGCATTTAACCTGTGAGTCACAACAACTCAAGTTTGAATCGCTACCCACACACTTTGCACCTACATTTGCTTTAATAATAATAATCACATTATCATCATGTTGTGCATTAATAACACTATTAAAACCACGACAGTTGTGGTCGTATCAAAATACACATTTCCGAATAGACAGCAAATTGTAAAGCTGATCCAACCCTAGGCCACTGATAAGGGCTACATGCAACACATTTTCTAATTATTTCCAAACCTTATGTCAGAATACTTTAAAAGATGCTGTGGGTTTTATTTAAACAGACTTTTAAGGTTAGTAAATCCCCTTTCGCATCTTGCTTCCACTAAAAACAAAATGTTTAACGTCTACTGTTCTGTCCACCTTCAATGTAACATTCATCAGCACCACAAAGTCTCTCAGCATGATTGAAGGCCCAGTTTCTCAGCCCTTAGGCCCTGCACAATGGGTACGATGGAAACGGCCTGAGGGGTAACAGGTGGGATGGATGAATGCATGGCTTGGATGGAATAGGTGGAACATCTTTTCCTTTTCTTCCTTCTTCTCTCTGTTCTTCTAACTAAACACTTCTGATTGGTAGCAACATTTGTCTTTGAGCATAATTGAGAACTTTACAGCAAACTTTCTCAACAGTTTGTGGATATTCTGAAGTCCAAGCATATTCACATTGAGATTCTGTCAGGGTAAACCCTCAGACTCTCTAATAATCTCCCCTCGTCTGCAGATGTACTTTAAGTTTGCCTCTGATAAGGCTGCCGTGAAACGGATCAATACTTGACAAATCAATCGCATCAATAATCAGGGAGATTAGTGAAGCAGTGCGGGAGAGAATTTTGAAGTACTCTCCTCCCGCATTGCTAATGACAGGCACACTTGAACATAACTTCAATGACACAGCCATTTGTTGTAATTTTTCCATTAACTTTTAAGCCTTTGTATTTCATCCCACATTTTCATAGGAGGAGGTTGCCTGCAGTGAATCACTTGAGATACACTTAATCCTTTACACAAAAAAACCCTACCACCTTTGCTCTATGTTAGTGCATTCATGCTAGACATGCATTTAATAACTTCTACTAAATTCATGCCCAAAGTAAATCCAATAATGGTGCTTTAATAAAACATTTCAGGTAATATTCTTTTGCTTTTCATCTATGGGTCAAATAGTGATTAAAAAGTGATACCTGCCGATGCATTACTTAGGAGCCGGCAGAGCTTCTTCTGTCACCCATACAGGCGGCAGAAGTGATGTGTATCATTACAATGTGGTGGAGCTCCTGAAATACCATTAGCCACGCTATAAGTGTGCGTTAGAGTCAAAAGAAGATCTCTAAGCCAAAGTCTTTTTCCTTCAACTCCACTTTCCCTTTTAATAAGCCAGCACATTGTAAAAGTGCAAGTATCCCTAAGGGCACATACTGTTATTACTAACTTAACACAAAAATTGATAGTTTCAGGGTACTTTAACATGTGTGTCCAAAAATAAATAGGACTTTAAATTAGTTTTCAGTGTAGAATGAAATCAAAAAAGAAACACTGCTGAGTAAATTAATTAAAAGTTGCCATAGGTAGGCTTATTGAATCGTTTAACTTTTGGAGGAGAAATAGTAATCAGTATTTATAAATTATGAAGCAAGGCAGAGAAAAAGTCCATATATTAAAATGCTCATTGGATGAAAGTCTTTAAACTTAAACTAAGCTCAGATGCATAGTGACCTGGGTTGTTTATGTCCACATATCGCATGTTATAGAAGATGTGGGGGTATAAGACCGATTTTAAGGGCATAAGGAATAGACTTGGGAATTTGTGGGGCCAGTTCAAGTCCAAACAGGAGTCAGACAGTGTTATGAAGTGTGGAATAACAGGTGCGCCTTTGAGCAAGGCATTGAACCCAAAACAGCCTGGATGCCAACGATGTGGCAGCCCTGTTGCTTTGGCACTCTACAATGCATGTGTTACCTGTGTTTGTAACAATATAACTAACAAGGAGGGATTCATAGTGTATTTCTGCTCTATTTATATGGAGTCTTTTTAATTATACTCATATGAAGTCAAATGTGTTTGTTTTAGTCCCACAATTACTCCCTTTGCAAAGTATGATGACTAGTGCAGTCCATTTCTTGATACACAGCGTCTCCCATAGTCACAGTGAGGATGACACACACACACGCACTCCAGCTCCTTTTGAGCAATTACTCACTGCCCTCTACTGCCGGTAAAGAAGGACTGCAACTGTGAAAAAAAAGGATATTAGGAATCATGCTGGGTTTCCACAAACAGCTTGGCACAGAGGATCATGTTTGTTGCTGTGCGAGCAAATGGAATAAAGATCATCCCGGTGCAGAAGAGCTTTAGTTAAACGGAGCATGGTCATTTGTTGTAATCTATGTGGGTGAGCTGATCCTCCCATGCACTATTACTGTGACACATCCACGCACAGATAAACATTCAATGAAACACATTCAATAAAAGAGAAGAAATGAAGAATATTATAAATAAATGAGGACAAATACCGAAAGCATTAAGTCAATCTCAAAGTCATAACCAAGGATGAAGCACTTTAATCATATTTAGATGGGGAAATATTCTCAAAACACTCATACTTTACGAGATTTCATACTGCAGTTTCATCACATAGCACTCTTTAAACATGGATGGAAGACATCTTTCATCATCTTTAGGAACGGAACAATAATCCAGCTTTATTTCTTTGAAGATGCGAGTTCCCCTCACATTGCCTCAGCTATGCCAGGCAGCGGTGTGACTGAAGGTCGGTACAAAAAATAACATGTTCTTCTCTGCAGCAAGGAGTACAAAGCCTGCTGAGAAAAAACAGTTCATTATAGTCCCCGTTGTGGAAAGGGAAAGTGGTTCAAGACTGCAAACAAGAACACAAAACCTCAAGAAAGGACGAAAAGTTTAAAAACATAAATTCTGAAGTGGAATATAGGCTGTACTTCAGAAACCGCCCCAAATAGACCCCCTCACACACACACACACGACAACACAGACTATCACACCCCTTGTTGTTCAATACCAACCATGTGTGTGTGTATATATATATATATGCCGTGAATAACAATATGGCTGCTACATACTACATCTGAACTGTTACAGAATTACAAAAAAAAAAGTTACAAATTGTGTAATTCTTTTTTTTTTTAAACATTTTTATCTTCAGCAGGTAGATAGAAGGTTGATTAAAAAACGACTGAACTGGTGTTTCATGTCTTTATGAATTAATGTCATGTCAAGGTGGATCTCAATAGAAAATGGACAGAGGTGTCACTCAAACTATACCTACCAAATATGCAAGGCTCGCACGGAGCTCCTGGTGTAAATTATTGACAAAGCTAGTCTGTCATATTTGAAACTTGAATACTAAAACAGTCTGGGGCTGTTGGAGCTCATTATTGAACTCGGTTCATGTACGAACATAGAAAATCTGTATTCAAATGGTGCAATGAGTGCATTTCTGATCCAAACCATATAAAACAAAGAATGTGTGGAATCAATTAAAAGGCAAAGCATTTAACTTAAGCTAAAGAAATGTAAAGGAAACTGACATCACAAAAATGTGTTAAACAACATAAGAGTATAGCAGGATTGGTCTTTTGACTGTGCTTTGCTGCTGTAGATACTATTATATTATTTTTGTCAATTGTGGGGAAAATAGACGGGGATTTCTTCAATGTGAACCATTAAAACACTTACAGGATTATTCAGGCACCCTTTGGATTTATCTGCCTTTGAACAAGATAATTGAACACATACGTCAGCAGGTTTGGATGTAATAGTGTGCATCGTCTCAGAAGTGTCTCTTAGTGAATCTTTTAGCTTTTCGGTCAACGACAATTTACAGTTGGAAAGAAAGAAATACCTGCCAGAATACATCAAACCAAAACACAGCCTTCTTGCAGGAAATGAATTGGGCCTGTGGGCGTACATGGTGGGCCAACGACCTCTTTTCATAAATGCAGAGACATTGCAAAACCTGAAAATTGCACAATTTGACATATGCACACTTCGGACACAAGTTCAATTTCACACAATGCTAATGGCCACAGCCCACATACCTGTTTTCCTTCACTTGCAGCTCAATTCCCCGTTCAATGTGCGTTGTCTGTCAGCTTTCCTGTTTGGAAATCCTGTCAAGAAGGTGCTTAATCCTGAAAGCCTTCTTTTCTTCCGAATAATCCAAACGAATCAAAGTGTCTTCGAGCTAGCAGGCTAGCAGTTAGCCATGGCTTCACTGGAGGACACATTTTTACAAGCAGTTTTGTTTATAACAATAGCCTATCTCGCGGCTGGTGAGCCTATAGTGTTTCATTTCAAGTTTTTCTTCAAAAGCTAGACTTTAAAGTATGTGCTGCATAAGGTTATCCGCGTTGTTTATGGTCACCGCAGTTACTTTCTTCTAAAGACGGAAAAATGAAAACGTCTGTCAATTACGACGACAACATTCGAAAGGCCAATCAAGTTGCAGGTGTTCAGTTAATTAGCCTCACCTGTGTCATCATATCTTCGAGCATGCGAATTGTTGTTTTGTTACATTCAGAGCACTTGACAGCAGCTGCCAAATTAAACAAAAAAAACCTTGGAAACTATTGTATTCAGGCACTGTCAATAAAATGTTGAATCGTTATAAAAATACATATACATATTTATAAATAATTTCTTAATAATTTTTTTTCATGTATTGCTATTGCCAGCAGATGGGGCCTTTTCTCTTGGAGTATTGTTTACAATCTAAATAAATGACAAATTACGTTTTTTTAGAGGTTGATTTGGATGTGTTTTTATTCTCTGTAGCCTATACATTTTAAATTCAACTGCATCAAGCAAAGAAAAACTCAAACTTTATTCTGCTTTGGTATGGGCCGCATGCTTTACCGCAATGTTTCAACCAGGTCTTCAGGGGACGGAAAAGTCAATATTTTAAAGCAGGTATGTAATCAGTTTGGCAGGGTTAGTACTACTCTTCAATACAGAAATCAAATACACAATACAAAATATCAAAAGGGTTTCCTAAATTCATTTTTTAAGCCTCAGTGCAGGAAAAGGAATTGATAGGGCATCCATCACTGCCTGCATACAGTGTCTAACTGTTTTCTTAGCAGCTTACAAGCCTAGAGGAAAGGGTCAGTATTCACTGAGGGAGAGGCACAAACAACATTCAATGGACTATTCACGTGAAGAGCTCAATAAAGAACGATGCATGATTGGAGGATGACAAAAGTGCAATAGGAAAATTAGCAATGGCCTCTGCATGATATGCTTGCTTTACAGGTATTATATCCTTTATGATACATGCTGGAATGAAAATGGCTCAAGTGTATCATCTGTGTCCAGATAAGAACCATATGAATACATTCATAGTTTGCCATGTGATATGCCAGAGGCAACAAATGATTGACAAGCAGCTGAGATTAACTGAGATTTTTGAGTTTATGAGGTCTGCAATCAAACTGTGTAAAGAAAGTACACTGTACACATGCTCCTTTATTAATCAGAAGTAGTCTTTGGCTTGCTTCTTTACATGTAAATAGATACATATTGTTTGTAAGATGTAATTTGTTTCCCATAGTGTTTTCACAAACTGTACTCAAAACAGGTAATAGTGCACAGTTAGGTCACACACAGTGATGAAAGGGGATCTGCTTGATTAAAATAAATTCCTCCCCTCATAAACTGGCCTAACACATCTTGGATGTTTGTTATGCCATCTGATTGTATAACATCTGTCTGCGCTAATAATGGAGCCTATCAAGATGTACAACAGTAAGTAAAGATAGAGGTATTTAAAAATAAAAAAGAATGTCCATCTAAATACAAATATGAAATATACTTAAGAAGTGGCATCTTCACATTTCACATTTCAGCATAGTCGTAAACTACATTTATGTACACATTAAAACAAATGATTATATCACACATCATATATATTTTGACACGCTCAACAAATCATACTGTTGATAGATGTATCATAAATTATACAAATTTAAAATGCTCCGTCTCAGTCAAATCACATGACAACTTTTGTATATGAGCTTGTGTGAATCATTAGATAATATAGATAACATACAAATTTAAATACTATTCAAACCAAGTTTGTTAGGGTTTCTGTATTTTCTACTTACGTACATGAATATAGTATTATCAAATTATTATGATGATATTGATCTTTTTGGGTTATATGATTTTGTAAACGACAATGGGTAAATCGCTTTTATTTCTTACCCCTGGCCCTCTTTGCTTGCCGTAGTAGCGTATAAAAGCTTTCCTAACCGGAAGTTCCGTCCCTCTTCATCCCCTCTCTGAACGACTGAGTGAGTTCCACATTGACACATACAAAAATTACAAATACTATCATCATCCATCCTCATCTCCACCAATAGTTATATCCCCGCTACTGCTAAAATACAATGTATCAATTCAGCTGGCCCATGACAATATAATCATTTTTATTTCCGAGACATCTATTCCCGTTGTTATAACCGATAAACTGACTCCATCTTTTTCTGCTTTCCCGCAGCGTTCAGTCCGCTGACACGGCAGAATGGTAAGAACTTCTCATTTAAATACTTTAATAGCTCGGTGTGAATAGCTGATAATGATGTCTCTTGTGTTTGTTGGAATGGTGTTACCTGAAATGTGTTGTTTGTGATATTTAGAGCGTCAGATACGGTGGCTAGCATTGGTGATTAGCATTAGGATACTGCTGCTCACTGGGCCACCCGGCTGCTGTCGGTTACATGTTCACAAGCCCATAGTCGCATGTATTTACCCAAATTGTGATGTGCTAGAGTTAATAATTTCACATCTACTTTTGAACTATGTTAGCTGTAGCTAATAACATCTGATTTATACTTAACTAATCTTACGTTAGCCACCTGAGACTGGCGTTACTAGCTAATGTAGCTTTTGACCTATGGTTGTCATCAGCAAGGCATGCTATCATCTCAGGCTGATGTGCTCGTGATGCTTTTTAAGTCTTGCAAGAATAATGATGGACCTAGTGCTGGGTTTCGATTGTGACCAGAAACATCAGTTCCACCGGTCCCCTAACATCACTGTGTTGTCCATTGTCAATCTCTGTCTTGATACTTTGCCTCAATAATAATATTAGTGCCTTCTGTTTATCTGCATAGCCTCGCAAGATCGAAGAAATCAAAGATTTCCTGCTCACAGCCAGGAGGAAGGATGCCAAGTGTAAGTCTTAAGTTCCTATATGGTTAATTTCAGTTGTGCAATGCATGGCTTAACTTCATGTTTGGCCTCTGCAAGAAACTTAAACAAGTAAATAGAATCTTTGTTGTTCAAATAAATACCTGAACACTTAATAATCTATTTCAGTACAGACTAATGGGCTCTCCCACATTACTCAGTAATTACTAGGGTTACATTCAGTGTTAAGATTAGTCTAATTGAAAATGTGTCTACAAACGTACATACAGTTTTAGATTTGTAAAGCATCACTACAGTCTTGGTTTGAAAGTGAAGAGATGCTCACATGTGTCCCTGATGTTTGAATGTTTTTTAATCCAAGTAGTTGTCAAGAGTTGCATCTAAACTGGCTTCTTTCTCTTTCTTCAGCCGTTAAGATCAAGAAGAACAAGGACAATGTTAAATTCAAGGTCCGCTGCAGCAGGTACCTGTACACCCTTGTCATCACAGACAAAGAGAAGGCTGAGAAGCTGAAGCAGTCTCTGCCCCCAGGTCAGTATCTAACAAGACATTTCATTTGACCTTGCTCATAGTCTTACATTTTCGTTTTTTTAAAGAAGTTTCCCTCTTTCCTGATGGAACCCTGTTGTGCACCACTTGAATGGTGTTAGGATTTGTTGGTCTGAGTTTCTTATTCTACTAGTATGTTTTCAAGGATTCATTTACCGGGATGGTGTGGTGCATATCTGACAGCAGAGGATAGTTCTAGTTGTAGCAATCTACTGTAGAATAATGTAAAACTCAAATTATGTAAACGAGGCAATTCTCGGAGCATTCACAGAAACACATTGCAACTGTTTTACGGTGCTTGAAGTGATTTCAATGCATTTCTTAGGCCTCAGGAGCACAACCTGTGTTTTGGACAGTAACTAAACAGAAGTTGAAATAGATTAAAACGGCTTTGGTTTGTAGCAAATGTGAAGAGTCCACATAGAGTAGATATATGGTTGTTGACAACTGGTCTAAAGGCTGAAGCGGGCAGGAACAACATCAGAACTTAAACTGAAAAAAACATAATGTAGAATACTCCCATCATTGCAACAAAGGCTAAACAAAAAAATAGACATAACAATTTTCTCCATTTTAACATGACTAAAGAAGGATGGACAGGGAGAACCTTCATTTGTGTACACTGAGCAACCGGACATATATCTCCCCTAGTTGTGATATTTGCAGTGACTCAAAGTTGACTTTAATATAGTTTTTGTATCTTATTGATATTAGATAATTACAAATAATTCAGCTGCATGTGGGGTTGGCTATTTTTCTCTTCTATAAATCAGAATGACAGACACAGATGTTTTCAGTCTTCACTAGTGTATTTAGGTGGCTGCTTATAAGTGATCATAGTTGAATAATTAAGAGGTTATTTAAATGGTATATGGGCCAACGCATCAACTAGTTATAACTAGTGTGCAAGCAAAATACCTAAAAATGGTGCTTCTGATGTAGTTAATGTCCTTTTTTTTAAAGCACACATGGGTGTAAATAAAGCCTTTGTTTGCGTCTCTTAACTAGAGATCAAACATGCTGCAACATAAATATAATTTCATTATTACAAAACGTTGCTTACTCCTTGAATCTCAATAATAGCGTCTTTGAAGTTTGGTATTTGTAATGCTGACATGAGCCAGTCTGTCTGGTTTCTCAGATATACAACAATGAGTGTTGTTTTTTTGCAATTCCAAACATGTGTTAATTAGTGAGTTACCTCAAACCAAAAGTGACTACTTGTATTCAGAAGTGAAAAATGTTTAGTTGGGTACATGAAATTAGTGTCATTGTTTGCAGGTGTGATGTTTTTTTGCAGGTGACTCTTTCTAACCAATGTTCCTTTCCTCTTCACAGGTCTGGCTGTCAAGGAACTGAAGTAAATCCGTGATCAGATAATTGTAATAAAAAATGGAAAACAGTTATTTCTCTTTGGGTTTTTTTTCTCAACTGAATTGTCCTGATCTAGCCTGTTTGCTAAAACAGCATGGTCATATGTATTTGTACCTCTTTCCACAAGATGTCACATTTGAGCTATAATCAGTAGTAAGAGGAGAAGTGAGGGGAACCACTGTCCGTGTCAAAGCTCTGTAAAAACTATCCCAAATGATGAGACATTAACCTTGAATATGCCTCACTTATTTATTAAACGTGCTCAATTGCCCTCAATTACATTTATAATCAAATTCCAATTGTATGTTTAGTTTTATACAGTCTTGCTATAACTCGGGTGGAAGAGTATTTAAGTAGTATATGTTCCCTCAAAAAATGTAATATCGCCTATGGAAAAAGTTTGTTTTTCCAAGTAAATACCTTTTGAAGACGAACATTTGCTGTCCTTCAAATGATCTGGAGCATTTGTAAAAGACGAGCTAGTCGGCCCTTCACTGCTGAACACTACTGCAATGCTTTATTTGACCAAAAATACATCTGAAAAACAGTGCGAGAATTCTTTTACATTGTTAATCAAGCACAATGCAACTAGCTAAACAGTTTCATGTCGTGCTACAGCACCATTACAAACTTAGCATGTAGACTTTTCTGAATAGATGCTTTACATCGAATAGTTACTGGGATTTAATTTAGCAGAAAATCACTACTGCAGTTTCTACAGATTTCACCAGTATGTTCATTGGGGTATGTGCAGATATATATGCTGACTGAACACCTTTTTCCTTTTCAAATAAATGGTGAAGCTAAGGTTGCTCATGGTTGATTCTGACGTCCAGCATGAGGACATGACCTGCACACCTGCTGTAAATGATAGATATTTGTAATGGCTTGCGTTAACCACTAGGTGGCAGTGCGGTAGTTAATTCCGCAGAGAGACGGCTGAAACAATGGTTAAACAATTTAAAGATGTCGATATTAAATGTATATCACTACACATTGAATACACATTCTTTTTTAACAATATTAGTTCCTCCTGGAAAACATTTTTGTAAACATCAGGGGCTTCCTTGCGCGCTCCCGTCTCTTCGTGTCCTAACTCGGTGCGCGTCCCCTCTTGAGTGTGTATAGTATCTGTCGGCCGGATAGGAGCGGAGGGTCCTCACTGACACGGAGTCGGAGACATGGGCGCTGTGTGATTATTTCTTCTTTCATGCAAAAACCTCTGCCGGATTTCACTTTGCAGCCACACTGGTGTCTGACTGGACTTCTTCTACGGTTTCTCTCATGTGTGGCTGAGAGAGTGTCTCCACAGTCGAGTATGCTTTTATCTCCGTCTTTGTTTGATATGAGACGGGATTAAGATCTCCGGAGTCCGCTTCAGTAACGGGAGGCTAATTTAGGCTGTAGTCGAACTTTTTTTTGTAACTGGGCAGGGATGTCTTCGGCCCGGGTGGATTACATTGCGCCCTGGTGGACTTACTGGCTTCACAATTTCCCTCATATCAACCTGAGGTTTCAGCCCATTGACAACAGCTTCCAGCCCGAAGAGGAGAACTACCAGCAGGTCAGTACAAGGGGATGGGACAGGAGCCCGGTTATCAATGCCAAAACTGAAAAACCGGACCCCTTTTGCACAATATAGTGCTCAATTGTGAGTTTTTCCAACAATATTGCAACATATTTATCAATCTTTCTTTGATAATCCTCCAAAAAATATAGCTCAATAGTCTTGGCATTTGTGCTATCATCAGTTCGAGGGTGTTATCAATAAGATTGCTACTGCCTCCATGTTACATTTTGCACGATTGATGACAAAAGATGCATATATGTCTATAAAAAGTCTCTTCCAGGAAACTTAAGTAGAAGAAGAGTCCACCATATATTTGGACCCAAAAATCAGTGGACCAATCTATTTTAGGTGTTCCAATTTGTTTTGTATTTTAAAAAAACAGTCTTTGCTAAATGTTATCTCATATGTATATGTTTCAAGGAATATTACAGATATGTTTCCAGTAGAAACAGAACATTCGGAACTTGTAAATACAGCCCTCAATTGGGCATGTTACATTTTTTATTTATTTTTAAGTTGGACAAATAAGCCTTTGTCTCGGTTGGGGAGCGATATGATCAGGGAAATGTGTGCGTGTGTGTCTTACTGTCTGAGAGTATGTCTGTGTGTTTGCGTGTGTGTATGTTGTATGGATGTTTTACACCCATTAAGTGGTTCCTGTCTAACTCCAGAGGCGGTGACAGGACAGGTTCACACAGTTTTGAAGTGGCCTGGGATCAACTGTTGGATGACTAATGACCTGCTTGCGATCACATGTCAAGAACAATGAATGATTTATAATTTCACTGTTTAATCTTTCAGGGTTCAGCGTAGCTCCTGTCAGTGCATGTGGACATCATGCTCAGAAGAGATGACATAGTAGTTAATTGCTGCAGCGTTAAAGCACGGGGTTGATCAGGGTGAGGTTAGTGGACTTTTAGGGTGTGAGTTGTCCATCAGAGAGGGGCCTCATATTCATGTGCAGTGACAGACAATGGAAATAAGTAAGTGTTGTGAGTCAAATGAAAAACGTCTTACAAAGGATTACATTGGGCTACATTTAGGCTATTAATTCCTGGAGATGTCTGCATTGTACTCTGCAATCACGCTTTCCCTTCCCTTATCATCTACTGTACAAAAATATTGCCAACAAGCTGGAGCTTATTGGCTTGGAGAGGAAACATATGTGTCTGTGGCCCAATACCATCTTATTCAACAATAGATTTGCGTAAAAACTGGCTGTGATGCATTTCAACAAAATATCTAACTAAATTGGATTTTTCTCTACCTAGTATCAGTTAAGAGGCGAAGAGAGCCTAAATGATGAAGATTTTTGTCTTTTTATACTGCCAGTTTCCATTCTCAGTAGCACTGTGGAAGTGGAGTCAGAGCCACAGGGTGTGGGAGTGGAGGGTGGGGAGTCTCAGCTGGAGATCATCACTTCCTTCTGAAAAGATAGTCAACCACAGGCAGACACTTGAGTCATGGGGTGGGAAACCCTGTCATCGCAACCGTTAACTTCTCTTCTTTGAATTTCATTTCTCTGTTTTTCTCTCGACACAGCTTCTCCTCTCCTCTCGGTTGTCTATTTTTTCACTGATATGGGTCCTGCCCTGGCTATCAAACTTAATTCTGACCACCACCTCCTTGGTTTACTGCATTATCAGCAGTGATGATATGCTGCATATGGGGAAGAAGGTGATACATCGCTCCTGGTTGTGCATGCAAAGTTGTTCAGTTGTTTCACTTTTAATCAAACATTAAAATAGTCTGTGTTGAAGGGAATGTAATTGATCATCTTGTTCCATAACACTGCACAGCATCACACTGTGGTCTTAATGACATTTTTTCAATTTTCCTTCTGCTCCTGGATGATTATCAGCTGTGCAACAAATAGTGGAATTCCATCTAATGGAACAAAAATTGAACTTCTTAATCGAGCGATGTAATGTTGAGTCCACTCTTTTCGAAAGGAATTGCTGGATCGATATTGAATTGGCCTCATCAGTGGAGAGTATTGATGTGCCTTTTACCAAGGCTCGTATTCCTTTTATCGGGAGTTGTAATTAGCTAGTTGTAGTGTGGGCAATCCTGGAGAATTCCTCTCTTGGCTTTGCGCCATCCAATGTGATGGAATGCAAGGGGTCTTTCCCTGTTCTTTTTCTGTGTGCTTGTAGTACGTTTCTCACCCTCTGTTGGACACTGGTATTGTCTGTAATGGAATGTCAGAATCACCTGACTAGAGGTCCCTCTAATTTATGTCTTCTGACAATAAGCAAGCTATTCTATCTAGGGCTGCACGATATATCGTGTCGTGACGATAAACGCGATATGCGCATGCGCGATATTCACATCGCACGACGTGACGATTTAAAAAAACAAAAACGTTTTAAATTTATATTTTTTTTAGGGCTTGCGATATTATGTTCGGCGCTGCTAACCGAGCTAGCTCAGCTTGTTGCTCTGAAAACTTAAGATCCAGACGTCCGTGACTAAAATCCTTAATCCGGTTAAATATAGTTAAAAAAATACCAATTGTATAGCATTAAAGTTCAAGAAAGGATGGTTTGCGGGGGAAAAAAACGGTCTTTTCTTCAATTCCTGTATATTTTCATATCGCAATATATATCGCAGGGGGGGAAAAAATCGCAATGTCAGTTTTTTTCCAATATCGTGCAGCCCTAATTCTATCCTTGCCTTACAGTAGCGTATTTTGGAATTTCTCACTCAGAGCTGCATAAAACTGTAGAGTTAAGGGTTTTGAATGCTAACATTAACTAGTGTAGGTCATACTTCTATTGCTCAGGACAATCTGGACCATTTTGGACAGTCTCTTCCAGGGAACTCATGACGTTGCCCTCAGTAATACACATAATGATAACTTTTTTTTTAAATATACCGATGCCTTCACTCACTGACCCCTCTGTGCGATAGTGACATCCCAGCATTGTTGATGATTGCTTTGCTGATGCACATCCTCTCCTCAGCGGTCACACAGCACTCCTCAGTCAGGACTGTCTAATGTGTTAAATGTATTTCTCTCTGCTCCTGATGTATTTGTCCCGAGGCCTGGAAGATGAAACGAATGCTAAAACTGACAACTGGAAAAGTCCCCCCAAAAATAGGACGGGGGCCTAGTTTTTTTCTATTATGTGTGTGTGAGCTCATGTGTGTGTGCATGTCTTTGTGTGTTTTGAGTCAGACATCATGTGTAGGTCAGCAGGTCCTTGTCCATCTGATTTCCCCTCCCATTTCCTGCTTTGTGACCCAGACACGTTTTTGCCAAATGTTTTCTGTGTTCATCATGTGGACTGCTGCTCCTCCAGAGCCAGGGTCACAGCAGTTTATCTGTGAGTTGATGGTCATTGTGAACGCTGTGATGGAGCACACTTAATTCCAGAACTTTGTAATAAGGCCAAAGTAAAAGAGGGGGAAACATTTGCATTGCACATATTGCCATGCTTCGGTTTGCTTCGTGGTATAGTGTCACGATTCTTATGTTATGTCACGTTTTTAGTTTTGTATGTCTTGTTGTGGGTGTTTTGCTGTTCTGTTCTCCCTGTCATGTTTTCCTCCTTGTTTCTTGTCTGTTCCTTCTCCCTATGTTTTCCTCCCTGTCGTTAGTTTCCCTGGTGTGTCTGATTGTCTAATTGTGTTCACCTGTTGCCCTTGTGTTTCTGCCTCCCCTGCCTGGCTGTTTCTCGTCTCGTGATTACCCCTCCCTGTATTTAGTCTTGTCTCTTCCTGTGTTCGGTGTCGGTTCATTGTTTTATTTTTCCTGTCTCCCTCCATGTCAGTCACCGTCAGCTTTTTGGTATTGTATCTTCCTTGTGTTTCCTTTATGTTTTATGCCATGTTTTTGCCATCTTTTACAATAAAGCTCACTTTTATTTTCTAGACCAACTTACCTTTTTTTTGTATTCTGCTTATTTGCCAAATTGTAACAGACACCAAGGTTCTTAACTTGGCTGGAGAAGAGAACGGAGCAACCATCAATTGTGAGGTTGGAGGCAGGGAGGGTGGAGCTTTGGAGAGGGTTGATTTGCTGCATTTGAGTTTCAGCAAGTTGCTGCTCATCCAGCTCCTGGGGTCCTGGTGGCAGGTGGTGAGAGAGGTGGGGGGAGGGCAGTGTTGAGTTTGGTGTATATGTAGACCTTTGTATCACCGGCCTAACAATGGAACTGGATATTATGATGACGGAGGATAGTGCCAAGGGGGAGGTAAATGATGAGCAGGAGTGGACCCATTGCTGACCCCTGAGGGACACCTCGTGAGACATTGGAGCAGCTTGAGGTGGGTGCTGAGTTGAACATTGTTTTCTGTCTGTAAGGTAGGATGAAAACCATGAAAGTGCAATACCAGTGATCCCAATGTCAGCCAGACATTTGATGAGTAGTGGATGGGAGATGGTGTCAAAGGCAGCTGTCAGGTCGAGGAGGGTGAGAATGGTGAGCAGTCCAGAGTCTGCTGCACGGAGGAGGTGTTTGGTGATTTTTTCCAGGGCTGTTTCGGTGCTGTATTTTTGCCGGAAACCACATTGGAAGGGTTCATGAAGGTTGTGTGTGTCAAGGTGTTGCTGAAGTTGGGCAGCAACCACTCTTTCAAGTGTTTTTGAGATGACAGAGAGCTTGGAGATGGGCCAGTAGTTGTTCAGCTCACCTCGATCAGCACCAGGTTTTTAAGGGTTGGTGTGACTGCGGCAGTCTTGAGGTTTGGCGTTACAGTTACAGTTGTGAGGGAAGAGTTATTTATTCTTGTGATCAGTGGGGAGGTAGAGGCAGGCTTTAACGAGTGCAGTGCAGGGGGGGCACTAATTATTGATTTGCATGTCTTTTTGCAACACGTTGGTTAAGATGCAAACCATGGAGACTCCCAATATTGTCAATTGATGAACTTACTATCCATGATAAAATGATATTGATTAGGGAGGCAAACCCACATTTCAATATGCAGAGCCTACATTTTGCTATGTAGATATTTGAACATACTCGATAGCAGTGGCGGCTGGTGGAAAA